GTAAAGCTCAACCTGCAGAATGTCATTCGAGAAATGAGATTGTGTAAAACGGAATTTAAACTATGAGAAAAATATAGGGAAAAAATTAAAATACCTTTGATGGAGTATATGGCCCGGGAACCCCCGGCCCACAGACTCCTACTACTCCAGCAAAGGCCCAACAGGCCCAAAAGGCCCAACATGCCCAAATCACAGCACCCAGAGTACCAAGCAGCCCGCACTACGCGCCAGGGGTGCCTTCGGCCCCCTGGCCGAAGGCTCTAACCTCTCACAGAACGGGTTTCTCAAGCAAACTAAGAAACTGGGAGAAAACGGCGAAAACAGTAGCCCTCGGCACCAGGGTGCCATCGTCTGGAGGAGCCCTCAGCTACTGCTCTATAGCCGAAGGCATCTCACTCGACAAGATATCCGCCTCACATGCGTACAGATCACCGTACCCTGTACAGACGTCCCATCCAACACCCGCATTAAATGCGGCCACATGCGGCTGCCAGCGCCAACCAGTTGAGGTGACCCCTCGGCCAATGAGCGCTTGACACGTGTCCCTGTCCGGCATTTATTGCTACTATAAATAGCACCCCATTTCCCCATTTGTAACCACGCTGAAACGGCATTCATACTGAATACACTCTCTCTCTACTTTTACTTACTTGCTTTGACTTCTCTCTAAGTTATTCCCCGTGATAACCCTTCGGATATATACCCCCGAGTAGACTATCCATCATTTGGTGCTCTCGTTGAGAGGTCGAACAATCGAGTAAGAAACCCCCCCCCTCGACCAAACACAAAACACTAGCCCTCTATCAAAATGGTGAGAACAACACGTGCCAACTCAAAGAACGTAGAAGACAAGAACCTGGCCCTCGGCGACGTCAACGCCCCCGAAGCCTCTCACAGGGCTCCCGAGGGCGGTGTCATCGCTGGGCTGGAACAGGCGGCTGTCGATCTACGCCTTCAGATCCAACAGAATGCCCCCGATGCCCGCCTCGGCATCGAGGCCAAGAAGAAAAACCGGAGCGATGACCAAGTCAGCCCTCCGGTTCTCACCATCGACGTACAATCGGCGCTCTCCGCCTTCATCCAAACGCTCACCCAGAACCCCGGTGCCTTCGGCACCCTGGCTCCAGCTCACCCTCAGATCGGGGAAAATATCATACTTCCCCCTCTGCCACACCCCTTCGGAAATCCCACCCCTCGGGTGAGAAACGACGAAGGGGTGGTGGTCCAAGATACGTCCTCCCAGGAAGTTCAGTCCCGGGACCGCCATGATGACAACAGGGAAAGGCCCCGTACTTCCGCCCTCAACCGGCTCAGAGGAGGGCCAGACCGCCGAGGGGTCCAAGACCGCCTCGGGGGGAAAGCACTCCAAAGGCCCCAGGAAAGCGGGGGATCTGTTTCGAGGGCAGACGAGGAGTGTCCCCCTCGGGACAAAGGCAAGGCACCCCTTCATGCCGATGATGCTCGGCACCGACATCTTTGCAACGACAAATAAATCCCGCCATTGCCCGATAGGAGTTCGGCATGGCTTGGGCAGGTACAATTTTGTAAAAATTGAAAAATGAAACAAAAAAGGAGTGTAACGGAAATCTAAGCCCAGCCCTAACTGAATCGAAATGGACTACGACCATCTCAGGGGCGTGACGCAGGGGATGAAGCCCAGCTCGCAACCGGAAGTCCACTGGGTTTGGGATTAGGGCCGGAATTTCGGCCCTATTATTGGCAGTCAATTTTTGCCGTCTTGCCCTAATTAAACTTAGGTCGAGTGTGTGACGGGGGACATCGTTTGAGCGTCCAGCCGCCATTAAATCCATTTCATCCTCGGATTTCGTGCCATCAGAGTTTTCACCGGAGGAAGATGAACTGCTAGGAAGGTCCTCCGCCTCCGCCCTAGTATTTGTCATCGTTTCAGTGGAACCACCGGCGAACGGAATGGTAATGACGTCCACAACGGCAGCATCACGGTCATCCCTTTGAGAGGCCATTTCTGAATCAGAGGAATGCGGTTGAGAACTCATCTCGACTGAGCCAGAAATGAAGTAAGAAAGTAGAGGGAGGGAAAGTACCTGAACACGAAAGTTTGAAGAAATTCCAGAGACAGAGCAACGATGTGAAGGAGATTGAAAATTCGAAACCCGGAATTGAGAAGTTAAAGGCTAATTTATAGCCTTAAAACCGCCGTATCGAGGACCAATCAGGGAGTGACACGTCACTAGAACCATTTAATCTAAACGCATGTCTAATGAAAAGACTAACGACAGTAATCATGATGAATATGGGAAAAAAAACGACAGCCGTCAAATCACAATATGGGGAACTGACCACTTCTGTACACCGATCGCCATTCGCCAGTTGCAACATTGGTGTTTATACTTCCTAATGCACTCACTGTCATTCGAGACATCGGAAGTGAGGGACTTGTGTTGGGATATTGACCCGGAGGCCCAATACCCAGATTAAAAAGGCCCAGGATATCCGGCCCAAACAAAGAGTCCATTACCCTATGATGAGTAGGTCCAGTGAAGAATCCATACCGAACGAGGTTCAGTCCAAGTAGAAGCCGGCCCAGAAAGCAGAAATACCGAATGGAGTTCAGATCATACATCATACTTGGGCCAAATTGACAGTGTCTTCCGCCTGGTCCAGCATCCCGATCGAGCAACGGGCAACCAGCAAGTGGCCAGGTGCATTTAATGCCAGATTGTGACATCAGCAAGTGGAAGCATGGGTGATCAAGTCGGTGGAACAACGGCCAATCAGCATAGAACAGCCCATGCTCTCCATTAGTATAAATAGTAGGTTTAATATCATTGTAAGGGTTAGCATTTTGATACTCAAGCTCTAGAATAGCATTATTACTCTTGTTTCTTGTATTAAAAGCACTCTTCCGACCTACCGATCGGGAAGTTTCCTTGTAATCAGACAGGTTAATTAATACAAGTGGGCTTTTGAGTATTCTTTGATTCATCTTTTATATTTTGTTATAAACTTTGATTCTGATCCGTTCCTGATATATCCAAAGTTCGTGTTGGGCTTTCGGATCTATGGGACTTAACCTCAACAGTTCTTTTTAAACATCACATTTGTAACCGGACTGCATGCCTAACTCATACTTGTTTGCATGATATTTTTCTTGTAAATTATGCTCGTATTATTCTGCTAACAATTTCAAAGAACAATCCCTTTTGTCAAGTATATGTCCTTCCTCAAAAATATCTTCCATGTATTCTCAAACAATGGAAGTGTCAAATTCTTTTACAACTAAACAAATTAAATTGCCCGATTGCCAGTTGGAATACATCTCGTAATGCATATTTATGAATAAATAAAAGGATTGTATTTCTCTATTTTACTTTATTTTCGGTAGTATTCATGTAGGTAATAGGATTCTTGGATATGTATATTATGTATAACATTAATATCGGAAAGAATTGTTTTTTCAAAAGAATTTTCTTTTTCAAAAATAATTATTTAGGTTTGTGGTCACAAAAGGGAAATTAAACTCCCGAAAGAAGGGTCAAATGTTTTCTTAAGCTAAAATCAATTTCAAGTCCCTAAGGATGTTATCTTACTAAAGTCAATTTACTATCAATTAAAGGATGTAAATTTTAAATCAATTGGTTACGAAGTGTTTTAATTTAGACGAAGGACGTATCCCTTGTCTCAAGCTTTTACTGTACTCACTAGTGCAAAATATGTATTCTATAACTAGGTTTTAATATGGGTTTAATTAGAACCGTTATAATATGTAGGCGCGGGGTCATATTTATAAATAATGAAAGTTTGAGTAAGTTGAGCGGGTATCTTTCATAAATAAAAAAACATTATTCATATGGGGCATTAAAGAACCGATATCAATCACTAAAACGGGGCCGTTTTTATGATTTTCGAAAACTTGAATTTCGTAATGGGGTATGTTTTATAATTTTAAAAAGTAGTTTTCAATGTCTGTCCTCACTTAACCCTTATCAAAGGGTTAACCCTAAATTCGGTCAAATTAAGTAGCAGCCCTACGGCCAAATTAACCCTAAATTGACGCTCCCCTGCTGCTCTCGAAGGCCACTGATGGATAGTCTACCCGGGGGTATATATCCGAAGGGTTATTGCGGGAATAACTAGAGAGAAGTCAGAGCAAATAAGTAAGAGAGAGAGTGTATATTCGATACGTATTAAGCGTGGTTTACAATGGGGGAAAAGGGTGCTATTTATAGTAGTAATAAATGCTAGATAAGGACACGTGTCAGTTTTCTGGTGGTCGAGGGGTCACCTCGACCGGGGTGGCACTGGCACTCGCATGTGGCCGCATTAAATGCGGTGGTTGGATGTGACGTTTGTACTTGGTATGGTGATCCAGGCGCATGTGAAGAGGATATTCTGTCGAGGTGGATGCCTTCGGCTGAAGGGTCCTGGGCCGAAGGCTCTTCTAACCGAGGGCTCCTACCTGCCGAGGGCTGCAGGTGCCGAAGGCTTGGTTTTCAAGCCTTGTTCTCCTGTGATGCCTCTTCTAACCGAGGGCTCCTACCTGCCGAGGGCTACAGGTGTCAAAGGCTTGGTTTTCAAGCCTTGTTCTCCTGTGATGCCTCTTCTAACCGAGGGCTCCTACCTGCCGAGGGCTGCAGGTGCCGAAGGCTTGGTTTTCAAGCCTTGTTCTCCTGTGATGCCTCTTCTAACCGAGGGTTCCTACCTGCCGAGGGCTGCAGGTGCCGAAGGCTTGGTTTTCAAGCCTTGTTCTCCTGTGATGCCTCTTCTAACCGAGGACTCCTACCTGCCGAGGGCTGCAGTTGCCGAAGACTTGGTTTTCAAGCCTTGTTCTCCTGTGATGTTTCTGAGCTCGATTCCGTCACTAGTAGTCTTCGGCCATAGGGCCGAAGGCACCCCTTTGCGTATTGTGGGCTGCTCAGAGCTCCATTTTACTGGGCTTGGCCCGTTTGGCCTGTTGGGCCTGATTGTAGCAGAGGAAGTATGTGGTCCCTGGGCCATATACTCCATCAGCCACAATACTGCTGCTCTCAATGAAGGAGACGAAGGCGACGATACTGCTGCTCTCAACGAAGGCGACGATACTGCTGCTCTCAACGAAGGAGACGATACTGCTGCTCTCAACGAAGAAGACGAAGGCGACGCTGCCCTACTGCTCTCGACGGCTTTGACGACATCGTTGCTACTCCCAACGAAGACGACGACCACTGCGCTCTGCTCCCAAGCGACGCCGCCGCCGCTCTCCACTAGAACTCACGCACGGTTTGCTACCCGGGTAAATTCTCAATATTGTTCCAGGGTTTTATTTTCTTGAAAATCGGAGAAAATATGAGTGGTCTAACATTTTTAATACCCCGTATGTGATTTTCAAGAGTAGAGAGTTGTTTTCCTCCTCTGCTACCCTTTGGAATAACACTTGTAAGTGAATTTGTGAAATTGAAGAATACTATTTTTAGGTTTAAATACAAGACTAACTCAACGAACTACGTTCTTGGCTCGTTTTTCTTCATTTTCTCTTTCAGTCAAATCAAAAGGCAGCAGTGATTACAATAATTACGTCCCACCAGCAGTGGTAGCAATTCAAGAAGAAATTTGGGGTCTTCTTCCTTGACCACCAGGCAGGAAAAAGCAGCATAAAGCCTCTACTATATTATTATATAATCACAAATACAAAGAGCTTTCTGTTTCTTTTCATACCCAGTAGAAAATCATACAAAACAAATATATATGTTGAAATAGTCTGGGTGTATTTTATATACATACATAGATATTTCCCCCCACCATGTACAAAGAACCATTAGCAGGAGACTCTCTTGATGCCCTTGGATCATATGTCAAGTATGATCCCATTGGCCGTTATGCTCGTGTAAGTGTTATACTTAGCTTTTGTCTCTTTTTCTTTCTTTACTTTGTGTGTTTATCATTATATGTATATATACATATATATTAAGACTTTGAGTTCCGTACTAAAAAGCAATCAAGAATATGAACCTAATAAGAGGAGATGAGGATTAGCTCTAACAATTGTTTGTGATTTTGTATCTTTGAATTTTGCTGATTTGAGATGCCTAACTGAGATGTTTGTTTGAATTTGGTTGGTTGGATTGGCAGTTGGATGAACTGTTAGGAAGAGGGGCAATGAAAAAGGTGTACAAGGCTTTACTCTGAGGTCCATCTTTTGAGCACTCTCAACCATGATTCCATCATCAAGTTCTATACTTCTTGGATTGATGTTCCAAACAAGACCTTCAATTTCATCACTGAGATGTTCACTTCTGGTTCCCTCCGAGAGTAAATAACTAAATCTTCCCACCATTTTTATAGATCTGTAATGTGGGATTCTGTTATAGTCTGTTTCTTTTGGTTCTTATTACGATTTCAAATTTAAGGTTGACATGATAGGAGTAGTCACATATTGTATGCGTCTGTTTGTTGTTTTATACTTAGCCTACATGTGACAAACTATTGAACATTTGATGAAATGGGTAATTAATTCAAGAGCTATATGCTATAAAATCTTGTAAAAATTATTAGTTTCTGTTTGGTTCCAATCAAGATTGAAATTTCCTAATCTTTAGTATTGGTAATGGCTGAATGGATGTTTTGATTGCCTTTTGCTCCTCTTTTAGCTGATTTAACCGATGATTTGCATACACAGTTGGATCATAAGATCATCGAGAGGCATAAAGATGCGTCTTATGATGGGGTGGGTGGTGCAGATACAGGAAGAAGTATAAGCAAGTAGGGATAGGAGCCATAAAGATATGGACGCGTCCAATTCTGAGAGGCCTCATTTTCTTGCACGGCCATGACCCTCCGGTGATCCACAGAGTCCTCAAGTGTGACAATATTTTTTCCAATGACCATCTAGGACAAGGAGATAGGTTGTAAATAATAAGTGCTCAATTCACCTTTTGATAAACTTGGTTTTTGTCTTATCATTAACTTTTTATACTCAACATTAATTTTACTATACACGTTAAATTGGTTAATAATTAAAATAAATATGGTTAATGTACTTTTTTGTTGAATTTGTTGATTTAGTTCCAAATGTTTTTTATGCTATGCTTTATTTAAAGAGTTTATTTTGAATATAACTTTTTATAATTCAACAGATTTAACAATGTACTATGGTGTGCCATCAACCAGCACGACTATCACATGGAAGTTGAATCCTGAAGATGATACCATCATTCTTAAGGTGCAGATTGTTGACAAACAAGGTACATATATGTTTAAAAAATGACATACATAGGGCATAAATAAAAAGATGGACAAAACTTGACTTTTAATATTCATTGACCTCACTATTGATCACTTTTTATACTGCAGCTTTCATAATACGTAGTACTACTTTTGCAGTACTTGTAGTTATATTTTTGTCTATCTATTTTATATTACTACGTATTAATATTATAGTACAACTCTGGGACTTGTTTGCTTCAGGGTCTGTTTAGGAAAATGCTAGGGGAAGAAAATGAAGATATGGACGCGTCAAATTCTGAGAGGCCTCATTTTCTTGCACGACCATGACCCTCCAGTGATCCACAGAGACTTCAAGTGTGACAATATTTTTGTCAATGGCCATCTAGGACAAGGAGATAGGCTGTCAATAATAAGTGCTCAATTCACCTTTTGATAAACTTGGTTTTTGTCTTATCATAAACTTTTTATATTGAACATTAATTTTACTATACACGTTAAATTGGTTAATAATAAAAATAAATATGGTTAATGTATTTTGTTGAATGTGTTGATTTAGTTACAAATGTTTTTTATGCTATGCTTTATTTAAAGAGTTTATTTTGAATATAACTTTTTATAAATCAACAGATTTAACAATGACTATGGCGTGCCATCAACCAGCATGACTATCACAGGGAAGTTGAATCCTGAAGATGATACCATCATTCTTAAGGTGCAGATTGTTGACAAACAAGGTACATATATGTTTAAAAATGACATAAATAGGGCTTAAATAAAAGGATGGATAAAACTTGACTTTTAATATTCATTGACCTCACTAATGATCACTTTTTATACTGCAGCTTTCATAATACGTACTACTACTTTTTCAGTACTTGTAGTTATAGTACAACCCTGGGAATTGTTTGCTTCAGGGTCCGTTTAGGAAAATGCTAGGGGAAGAAAATGAAGAGGAAAAAAAGAAAACACAATTGTTTGCACTTTTTCACCTTTCCATACCATTTTCCATGTTCCAAACGCGGTCTTATGAGTTGAGCTTCTTCCCTTTGGTTCTGAAATTCTGATATTCTGACATTCCAGGGGGTTAGAAATGTGTATTTTCCATTTGACATTTTAAGCGACACACCAACCAAAGTTGCAAACGAAATGGTGAAGGAAAAGTCATTCTGGTCAGTATCATGTAGTGCTTCATCCCAAGGGTCAGTTTCAGGTTTGATCATTTCTCAAGAGATGGAAGGGAAAAGCCACCACCTATGGTTTAGAGGTACATGCCCTTTTCTGCTTATTTTTTGAAAATGTGGTTTGAAAATGGGATGCAAAATTAAAATCCCACTTCTCAATTTTATTGCTATATTATTGGTAATAATGATGAATGTTGCAGATGAAATGTATGACGAAACGACGTCGCAGAGGTCATCACACTCAGGAAACTATTCAAACCTGAATTACCAATCAGGACTCAGGAGAGGAGAGCAATCAAAGTTTGAGCCCGAGAACACGGAGCCATCAGCAGGAAGCCAACAACATTATAATTTGTTGTGAACTCATAGTTTTAGTGAACTCAAAGTTAGTTTTTTTTATGAATGTTGTGAACTCATACCTAGTTTTTGCTGAATATTTTTGGATCAAGACAATGTGAATGTGAAATGTTATTAGTTATGAGCATGATATGTGTTTACTTTGTTGCGATAAATGTTCCTATGATGATGTGTGCAAATTTCTGATATTTAGAAATAGCTGTGAATGAATTAAATGTTAGGAATACATTTCATATGGATTGATTAATCCTATATTGAAAATCTTTAATAACAGTTCATGTATAACCGCTATTGAATGTTTCAATAACGGTTCTGTAATAACCCTTATTAAATGTGCCGGACTTTTAACATGTGCTGGAACAATATCGGCTTATACCCGTTATTAAAAGCCCAATTGAACCGTTATTAAAAAACCTTCCATAACGGTTCCCGAACCCATATTAAAAGTACTGGACTTTTAATAGGTGCTGCAACTATAACGGTTCTGAACTGTTATTAAAAGTCCGTTATAACCGTTATTAAATCCATATTTTTCACTAGTGACTACTCCCTACAATAAGTAAAATTATTAAGAGCTCATTTGATAATATTGTTTTTCGGCTTATCAGCTGACTTTTTAACCACACACGTAACTTTTAATTTCGCGCGTTGAAATGTGTAATAATAAAAAAAGTCCAGTTGAAGTTACTTTTCTAGCTGTATCGGCTGAAGTTACTGTAAAGGACCATTTTAGCTATTTTTGAGTATAATTTTTTCTTTATTTTATTAATAAAATAAATTTTAAATTTAATTTTTTCATAAAACATCAAAACCAGCCAATACAATCACTTCAACCAGAAATTCATAAATTTCAGCAGAATCAGCCAATTTGAGTTACAGACTCTAAGATTCCCATCGTTGTGCAAAGTTTGCCACGTGAGTACTTGTTTAATCATCACATTTTTGTTTCCCAAATTCCATGAAAGTTTCCCGTCATATACTTTGTGTATTTTCGGTAACAACAATGCTTGGAGTATACAAGTTGTACACAACTTGTACATAAAATGTCGGTCACCGACAATTGCTACGGAATTGTCTGTGGTCACAGAAAAGAGTTGTCTGTGTACACAAACAATTTTTGTCTGTGGCCACAGACATTTACTTTTTTTAAAAAGGTAGACTAACAGCCGTCTGACACTGACACCAACACGCAAATCAATCAATATATGTGCAGTGTCTGTGTGCACAGACAACATATTCATGTTGCACATACAATTATTTGTCTGTGTGCACAGACAATATTTAATTACCACACAGACAATAGTTGTGCGTCTCACAGACAATAGTTGTATGTGTGATCAACTTTAGTTGTTGGTGTAATCAATTTCAATTGTCTGGGTGAACAAAAAAAATTAATTGTCTATATATATCCAAATGAATTATGTAGTTCTATGTGATAAATTTACATGTAATTTGAAAAAAATAAAAAATAATAAAAATAGATGGAATAAGATGAATAAATTGATTTTGTGCAAATAATGAAAAGGTAAAGAAAAAGATAATGAAGAAGGGATGAGGAAGATGAAGAAAGGAAGTAATAGAATTATTAGAGGCTTAGTGATGTGTTTTACATTAAGCTCTCTTTAATATAAATATATCTCTCAGGACTTCTCAGGGAGTAACATTTCCATTATTCTCACATGGTATCAGAGCACATTAAATTTTTTTCGATCCTTTCTCTCTCTACACTCTCGGCTCCTCAAGAAGTAATTTTTCCATTATTCTCACAGGAAGATGATTTCTCATTTTTCTTTGAGATATTCGAATGTTGGGTAATACGGAGAGAGAAGGGAGAGGGGAAGAGAATAGAGAGAAGGAAAGAGAGAAATGAGAAGTTTTTCAGGCCTTTTATATGGCATACCTTTGTGTACACTTTGAGATATTCGAATGTTGGGTACGTTTAGCAATTTTCTTTCGGTAAACGTAATTCTTTTTGTTTAATCATCAAATTCCACGTTCTAGTTGTAAAAGTACAGTTACCAACTTTTGTTCTTGGCTTTTCCCTTGCTTTTGGCAATTTGGCGTACGGTGCAAAAGAAATTACGAAAGTAAAAATTAACTGGCTTATGCTCATTTACTACTAAGTTTTAATTTCTCCAAAACACATAAGTACTACTCCCTCTGGTTTTCAAACACCTTCACATTTTGATTTCACACAGATTAAGAAAATAAATTTTACTTTAGTGTACTGTTTGGCACTGTTTGGCAATATTTTGGTGTAGATAATTTGCCAAATAAGAAAATAAAAAGAAGTGTGAAGTTAATTTCGGGACTTCCCAAAAATGAAAGTGAGAAGTTGTTTGAGAACCGGAGGGATTAAGTAGTGGATAGACGGAGAGGGTTATTATTTTAAAAATAAACCGACCAGTCCTTTATTCGTCGGGCAATACATATATACTTCATCCGTTTCTTTTTAATCGTAACATTTTCCTTTTTTGGAAGTTTCAAAATAAATGAAGACATTTATTTTAGGATATAAAATAATGTGCAATTGTCTTTAATACCTATAGTTCACGTAGGAAAACGCCTAGTTACAAGAATTTATATTCTACGAGAGACTTTGGCATATTAAATCCCATACCTCTCCTAGCTATACTTCAAAAATCAATCATATTTATAGGATAAAGTTTAAACAACTTTGCTTGGTGTACACCTTTTGTGTACACTTTTTGTGTACAAACGTCTGTCCCCAACAGACGAGGTGTATGTCCTCAACTTTGATTGTCTGTGGACAGACAACTCATTTACTGGGAACAGACGTGTGTACAAAAAAGTTGTACACAAAATGTGTACACCAAACATTTTTCAAGTTCAAATAGCACCCCATAAAGTTTATACGATAAAGTTTAAATAGTACCCTATCAATCACATAAAAAGACAGCTAGTGGTTGTCTTTTGCGCAAATATATGGTCCACACGGTGTAGATTGGCGCGTCAATGCACGCGCGAGTAAATATGGCGCGTAATGGATCGGCTTCACGAGAATTCAATTTGTTGAGCGAATCTTTTCACTGCTTTTCATACTACGATGGACTCTTTCTCATGCCATTCCCAGTGGGCTGTGGCTCGTCCAATCATGCATGTACGTGGCTCCAGCTAACTGGATGATCGATTGATAAATCCAAACACACCCTCCATCGCATATCTTATCTCTGCAACATCCGTACGTTAAAATCCTTATTCATCATGAAACCCACAGGTCGCACACTGTAGCTCTAATCTTTTCAATTTATTTACTTTCATTTGGTCCAAAAGGTTGAATGCCCAACCCTAATGCCTTCATCCCGACCTGACAGGGTGTTGGGGAGGTTAATCACGGTGATTCAGTCAGTAAAGCAGTGGTAAATCTTATACACGTGTGCATCAGAGGTTCAGCTTTATTTCAGGTTCTGTAACCTTCACACGGTCGCTGCTGATTTCGAACTTTGGTCACTTGGTCAAGTTTTCCAACCACTCGACCAACTGAGTTACCCGTGCGGGTTAGTTTCATGTTTACATTTCAAAATTCATATTATCATCTTTTTAAATCGTAATCGACCAATTTTCATGTATGTGAATAAAGAAATGTAATCATTAATACTAGTATCATTCATTCTAAGAAATTAAAAAAATAGATTTTGACAATTTAAAATAAATTGTCAAATGCTGAAAAGGGGAGATAGAATCACGTGAATATGGAGTGGCACAAGCATTTGATCAGACGTGTTCGACTGTTGCTGATAGGATTCCTTCTGAGAAACAATCTCAGGAATTGGCTATGTCGCAGGCTTTTTGTGAAGATATTGAAGCTAAGAGATCTCAAAACCAAGTGACATTACTTGATGATGAGAATATCATAGAGTGTTGAGTCATCCAATAGAGAAGTGTTGGGTGTTCAAAGAAAAGATTATGGCTTTAGCCCGTGAAGGAAAGATTGAACTTGCTGCGCTCATGGTCGACGATGACCTAAATTACACTTGGTCATGGTCGACGATGACCTAAATTCTCACAAGCATAAGCTCCCTTTTACTGTCAAGGGAATGAAAGGATGTCCGCCTCTCACCAAAAGAATGGCACTCGAGGATGTCGATGACAAAGGGAGACCATGGATCTTGATAACTCGAAAGAAGCAAAGGAAGAATCATGAACCTAAACCACAACCGAAGAAGGTGATAAAGAAATGGGTTAGGCGACAACCGATAAATGAATTGAAGAAAAGGAAGCAAAGGAAGGATCATGTTCGTCCCAAGGTTGCACGAAGAGTAATTACTCTCAACGATTATATGCCAAAGGACTTCAAGAGCAAGAAAAATGAAATATCAAGTTCTTGCCTGAGCACCCATGAAAAAGACGTTGATAGTTCAAATAGGGGTTTATCTCCAGTTTCGAATAAAGAGGAGGTGGCTGGAGCACAAAGATCTACTTCATATGCCACTAACATTGTCTTTAAAGATGAAGATCTTATGTTGGGTGCTACTCCCCATAACCGTCCGCTTTTTGTTGAAGGATACACTCGTGGACGAAGATTCAGAAGAAATATGATAGATCAAGGGTCTGCCGTTAACATCTTAACGGTTCGAGCTATGAAAGATCTTTATATATCAATGGATGAACTCTCCCAAAGTCGCTTAATGATTCAAGGCTTTAATCAAGGGGGGCAAAGAGCGATTGGAATGATCCGTATTGATTTGGTCATCGGCGGGTTGAAAGCAAGTACTTTATGTCACGTCATTGATGCAAAGGCTTCATATAATCTCCTTCTAGGTCATCCATGGATCCATGAGAACGGTGTGATTCCTTCAACATGGCATCAATGCTTCATGTATGAGGAGAACGGTGTTGTAAAGAAGGTAGTGGCCGATGAAACTCCATTCACAGAAGCCGAGACATACTTTGCAGACGCAATGTTTTACCAGAAGCCCAAAATTTCTGAAGAAGACGATATTAGACAGGAAGACGTATATCGCCCCTTGACTCAACCAAAGCTGAAAGGGAAAGTTGTTGAAGACGTAGAAGGGCTTACGTTCCCTCTTGCAAAGATCGAGATATCAAGGCCTCCTCAAGACACGTCTGAGGAAGAAATAAAGCACAAGGATGATGTTAAGGAGTTTCAAATCCCCAAGGCACGCACTAATGAAGGATTTGACCCAAATGCATACAAACTTCTGGCCAAGGCTGAGTATAATCCTAATGAACGGAAGTTAGGAAAACTCATTCCAGAAGCTGGTGGAGAAGGACCATCGAAGCAAATCAATCTTCGAGGACATACAGGGTTGGGTTACGTTCAGCCGAAACCCATAAGAATCCTCATAAATAGAGCTACAACGCATCATATCAGTGCGGATGAAGAAGATGAGGTGACTTCTAAACCGAAGTATTCCGTTTTTGATCGAATTGGGGGGGGGGGGGCAAAATCAAAACCCGCCATCTTTGATAGAATGGGGCCAAAGCCAAAGAAGATCATGAAGAAAACTTTACAAGAAAGGCTTGGAATGGTCCCCTTCATGGTAAAACACATGCAAGACCCATGTAGTGGGCAAAACTTTGAGAGAAAGCCGATACATGAAAGGTTGGGAAAAGTTCGCTCACGCAAGAAGTCTCTCAACAAATATGCAAAAACACAAGTTTTGAATGAATATAGAAGCTTGATTCCATCCCGAATGAGGCGAGAAACTGATGTGCAAGTCTCATGTGGAGAAACTCTCAAAGTACAGTTGAAAACAATTATTCATACTCGAATACCGGCAGACAATGAGTTCAAATATGATGAACTGATTGATGACGAAGAATACATTGCCTCATCTTACCATATTACCTTTGGTGATGAAATCCCGATCGAAGGTGAAGATGCTGATGAAGCTCCTCCGGAATTCGAAGAAGGAGTGCGAACAGCTTTTGATGAACTAAAGGAGGTAAATCTCGGCACCGAAGAGGACCCTCGTGCCATTTATATCAGTGCTCTTCTATCGAGCGAAGAAAAAGAAGAATATGTGGCCTTACTCCAAGAATACAAGGATGTCTTTGCATGGACATACAAAGAAATGCCGGGGTTGGATCCAAAAATCGTTGTTCATCACTTAGCGATAAAGAAAGGATGCCGACCAGTAAAGCAAGCTCAAAGGCGCTTCCGCCCAGATTTAATTCCATTAATTGAAGCATAGGTTGATAAACTTATTGAGGCCGGATTCATTCGAGTAGTGAAATATCCTACTTGGATATCCAACATTGCCCCGGTCAGAAAGAAAAATGGACAAATCCGAATATGTGTTGATTTTCGGGATCTTAACCTTGCTTGTCCAAAAGATGATTTTCCACTTCCAATCATTGAATTAATGATAGATGCTGTGACTGGGCATGAAATTATGTCTTTTATGGATGGTTTCTCAGGTTATAATCAGATCCGGATGGCTCACGCAGATGAAGAATTGACTGCCTTCCGAACTCCTAAGGGGATCTATTGCTACACAGTCATTCCATTTGGACTTAGGAATGCAGGAGCTACTTATCAACGAGCTATGCAGGCAATATTTGATGATATCCTTCACAAAATCGTGGAGTGCTATGTTGACGACCTCGTGGTGAAGTCAAAAGCTCGAGGCGATCATCTATCACACTTAAGAATAGTATTTGATCGCTTGAGGAAGTTTGGTCTCAAAATGAACCCTCTAAAGTGTGCTTTCGGAGTTTCGGCCGGGAAATTCTTGGGGTTTATTGTCCGTCACAAAGGCATTGAGATAGAACAAGCCAAGATCGACGCTATTGTGAATATGCCGGAGCCTCGAAATATTCATGAGTTGAAGAGTTTGCAAGGAAAATTGGCTTACATACGAAGGTTCATCTCGAACTTATCTGGAAGATGTCAACCATTTAGTCGAATTATGAAGAAGGGTGTGCCTTTCATATGGGACCAAACGTGTAAGAATGCGTTTGAAAATATCAAGGCTTATTTAATGAAACCACCGGTCCTAAATGCACCTATCTCTGGCCGCCCCTTGATACTTTACATTGCTGCTCAAGAAAGGTCTGTGGGAGCTCTATTAGCTCAAGAAAATGATAAAGGGAAGGAGAATGCCCTTTATTATTTAAGCAGAATGATGACCCCACACGAGTTGAAGTACTTGCCCATTGAGAAATTGTGTTTGGCCCTTATATTTTCAATCAAGAAGCTTAAACACTACTTTGAAGCTCACACAATAAATCTTGTTTCCAGAGCAAATCCGCTGAAGTATGTGATGTCCAAAGTTGTTCTATCTGATCGTCTTGCTAGGTGGTACTTGATATTTCAACAGTTTGAGATTGTTTATGTCTCACAAAAATCTGTAAAAGGACAAGCTTTGGCAGATTTCCTGGCCGATCACCCTATCCCTGCTGAGTGGGAACTCTCTGATGATCTACCTGATGAAGATGTGCTCATAATTGAAGTTTTGCCTCCATGGAAGATGTATTTTGATGGAGCTGCACACAGAGAAGCTGCTGGAGCTGGTGTGGTCTTTGTTACACCCGAAGGTCAAGTTCTGTCATATGCTTTCACGCTTACGGAACAATGCTCCAATAACGTCGCTGAATATCAAGCACTCATTCTCGGACTTGAAATAGCTGCAGACTTGAAGCAAACACGAGTTAATATCTATGGCGATTCAAAGCTAATCATCAATCAAGTGCTTGGAATTTATGAAGTAAGGAAACCTGAACTGCATCCTTACAACAAATATGCAAGGGCACTCATAGGATGGCTGGGTGAAGTTACAATTGAACACGTGCCAAGAAAGGAAAACAAGCAAGCTGATGCACTAGCAGGGTTAGCATCGAACATGGCACACCTTGACGATGGAACTCAAGTACGGGTATGTCAAAAATGGGTAATTCCTCCATTCATTGGAGACGATGGTGCAGCCGAAGAGATAGTCGAGATGCCAACTACCTCGGTTTATGATATTGAAAATGAAGATTGGAGGCAGCCACTCATTGATTATCTCACTGATGGGAAATTACCTGAAAACCCCCGCAAGAAAGTAGACTTGAAGAGGCGTTCACCGCGTTTCATTTACTATAAAGATACGCTTTATCGAAGATCATTCGATGGTGTATTCCTTAGGTGTTTGGGTGGAGATGAAGTCTTACAAGCAATTGAAGAATCACATTCAGGAGTATGTGGAGCTCATCAGTCTGGTCCTAAGCTGCACTTTCATATCAAGAGGATGGGATATTATTGGCCGACCATGGTAAAGGATTGCATGGACTATGCTAGAAGATGTCAAGCATGCCAATATTACGCAAATTTCATCCATCAAGCACCGGAGCCTTTGCATCCGACAGTAGCATCATGGCCATTCGACGCTTGGGGACTTGACGTAGTTGGGCCAATCACGCCTAGCTCATCAGGAGGGCATTCATACATACTAGCCGCTACTGATTACTTCTCAAAATGGGCCGAAGCAGTTGCATTGAAAGAGGTGAAGAAGGAAAATGTTGCTGATTTCACCCGAGTTCATATCATCTACCGCTTTGGTATTCCCCGATATATTTTGACGGACAATGAGAAACCTTTTGACAACAAGTTGATGGACAAGATATGCAGGTTATTTGATTTCAAGCAACGGAAGTCCTCTATGTACTATGCTGCCGCCAATGGCCTCGCTGAAGCTTTTAACAAGACTCTATGTAACCTGTTGAAGAAAGTAGTGTCAAAATCAAAGAGGGATTGGCACGAAAGAATGGAAGAAGCATTATGGGCATATAGAACGACTTATCGAACACCTACTCAAAGCACTCCATATTCTTTGATGTATGGTACCGAAGCAGTCCTTCCCCGAATCAGCCATTTGATAATTTATTTTAAATTGTCAAAGCACTCCATATTCACGTGATCAAAGCACTCCATATTCACGTGATTGCCTATCATAGAAGACCAATTTTCATGTATGTGAATAAAGAAATGTAATCATTAATACTAGTATCATTCATTCTAAGAAATGTAATCATTAATACTAACCGTTTGACAACCCTCATTTTCGGCTTATCAGGCTTATCAGCCAACTTTTTTACCAAACACGTAAATTTTGCTTTCGCGCGCTGAATTGTGTAATAAGCCGAAAAAGTAAAGTTGGAGTTACTTTTCCGGCTATATTGGCTGAAGTTACTGTAGATGATCATTTTAGCTATTTTTACATATAATTTTTTCTTTATTTTATTAATAAAATATATTTTAAAAATATTTTTTTCTTGTATCAGCGAAATCAGCCAATACAGCCACTTCAGCCAGAACTTCATAAATTTCAGCAGAATCAGCCAAAACAGCTGATTTTCGTGCTACCAAACGGGCTCTAAGTGTAATTTAAAATTTTTGTTTTAAAATTTAATTTATTTCATTATTAGATAAAATAGAGTCGGCTTGTGAATAATGCAAAAAAGTCTAATGTTGAATTTAAAAGAGAACGGAGATATGATATACTATCTCCCTTAAAACTTTGCCAACTTTCGTTTTTTGGATGTTCCATTAACTTTGCCACTTTCCCATTTCAGTAAAGAATTTGTGGTTCCAGTTAATTCTCTCTCCTCTGTACAAAAACCTCAACCACACAGTTTTTACTTTATTAATCCTCGTGCCGGTCAAACTTGGCAAAGTTTTAAGGGACGGAGGGAGTAATATCAAAAATAACATCTATACATACTAATTGTATCCAATACTAATGTTAATACTCCCTCCGTCCCTCTTATATTGTCCCATTTTACCTTTTCGGGAAGTCCCACTAAAATTGTCTCATACCATATTTGGTAAAGTTTGTGTGGTTCTAAATCATTCTTACTTTATTCTTACTTTATCAATTAATATAAACCACACAACCCCACTTTTCTTAATAATCGTGCCACTCTCTTCCGACCCAATATAAGAGGGACAGAGGTAGTACTACGTATATAACAATAACTGACCGGGCCGAATGAATATACAAAAAATCTATCATCTACTCCGTATTACTTAGTACTCCCCCCGTCCCGGAAAATTCTTCCCGGTTCGACTTGGATCGGAGTTTAAGAAAGTGTGAATAAAGTGTAAATGTATGGTTGTGGTTGAGTAAGAAAAAGGTAAATGAATGGTAGCCACACAAACCTTTCCAAAAAGGGAAATGAGAAAAAAAAATTGGGACATCCCAAGAAGGTAAGCGGGAAGAATTTTTTGCGACGGAGGTAGTACTATGTATTGCAGAGTACATGGCAGCTTGCTTGACTTCACCACGAGATCCACTACAAGAAAATTGGAGTTTTACCATACATGTATATGTCGGTAAAAGTGTAGTTATGTGAAGGCAATCATTTTTGTTTCCACATAAATTAAGTGTAGACATGTGTGGGTATGCAACCGTAGTTAAATGTGTTTACCCACACAGCAAACTATGTGTGGGAAAAACTGTTTATTTTTACCTACAAATGTATGTGTAGGTAAAACATATATCATGTGTTGCTGTTTGTCATGTACACACCGTTTTGGTGACATGACGTCTAACATGGCACATGATGTGCCACGTGACGTGGCGATTTAGTGATTACGTGGCACACGACGTGGAAAATGAGGTTATTTTCGGAAAAATACAGCCACATGGACACATTTTATGTGTACTAAAGATGATAAATGTGTAGCTAAATGATCGAAATAAACGTGAATAAATATCTATAGGTGTAGGTAAAATGAATCGTTTCCTACTCTTTTTCAAACTACCTCAATTAGGCAGGTTCTAATGTCATGGTGGCTTAAAGCTGGTGCTAAGAAGATGGAGGACATATTTAAACACTGCTTGCCAGGTATCATATGCTGGCACATATGGAAAACTTATTCAAGTTTAATTTGGGGTCAGGAGGGTTTCACCCCCTCATCAGCAGGAATCAATAAACAGATAAAAATCTATTCTCAGACCTGGTCAGTTGGACTCCCTAAAGGTAAAATTCGAACAGTTGAAAGGATTTTATACGAGGAAGAAATAATACCTAGTACATTCAGGCTAGGTCGTCCAATTATTTTGGCAGTAAAATGGAAAAAACCATCCCAAACCTTCAAATTAAATACTGATGCAAGATACTCACCTGAATCGTCTGCGGGAGGCGCGATTCTAAGGGATACGAACGGGACTTTGGTTTGCGCCATTTCATTTCCACTGCAAGCATCCTCTTCCTTGGTGGCTGAAATCCAAGCTGCGCTGCAATCTGTTTGTTGGATGATTGAAGAAGGCTACTCGGATTTTGAGATGGAAGGTGATTCAACGGAGGCTGTGAAGATTATCAGGGAGAAAGGGTGCGGAAGGTGGAGTTATGAAGTTAAAGCTTTGATGATGTTGTCGGAAGATAAGAAGATTTCCTATTTCAGCGTTTGGCGAGAAGCAAATTGGGTCGCACACTTCCTTGCTGATCATGCCTCGGCCCAATTCCAAAAATTCTCTGAGCCCAATCAGCTTCCAGCCCGTGCCAAAAATGCTTATCTTATGGATCTGTTTGGAATTCCCTCTCTTCGTATTATGTATTAATTTTTTGCTCTTTTTCCTTCCGCAATGTAATACTCTTTTATTTCAATAATATCCCGGTAAATGTTCTCCGGCATTTACCCCACTGATTTTGGTGGTTTGCCTTCCGGAGTAAAAAAAAGGTAAAATGAATCGTAAGTGTGGTTAAAAGTTTTGTCTATGTGTATCTATTGATAATTATGGGTTGGTACGACTATTCTTTTGATTTAATTAACGTTTAATTTTTATGAAATAGACCTATGTAATAATAACACAACACATCAATATAATACATATTGAAAACAAGCTCATTCAAAATCAAAAGTATGTTCGTAGAATTATACTTCGTACAATAATAAGTTTGACGTTTGAATGTGATTTACTAATGATTATAGAGTAATACACAACTTTTTATAGACACACAAAAAAGTAATTAAAATGCGGTATATAATTTGAAAACACATTACATTCCACATTAAATATTATGAACCATTTCTTTATAACCAACATACTCGATTTCAATGTTCGTTCCTCCATTATCGTTTGCAATTAGTTACTCTTGACACAACCATGTAAAGTTGATAATGACTAAAAACAATTTTTTTACAATAAACAACCATGCGACGACTGTCATTGACTTTTATTTATAGTCATGACATAATGAGTCATGTTTGAGTATAACCACATGTAGAAATGGAATGATAAGCGGCTAACATCTGAAGGTGTTAAGAAATTCTGAGAATTAATAACTTCTATCAAAACTAAAGCTTGTAGAAATCCCCCATTTAATAAAACGTTTTGCTAGGAATTTACCCAAGTGATGCACCAATGATTTTGGCAAAGAATTTTAACATTTTCAAAGGGTTATATATATATATATATATATATATATATTAAACGAATGTAAATTATATTACATATATAGTGACTAAGAGCATCTTCAATGCTATAATGTGCACGGTGCACATGTGGCAGTAGACAGATAGACACAAAAGATTAAATTAATGACATTTCTCTCTCCTTCTTTCCACGGCCTTATGTGTTTTTGGTAAGTTTTTCTCAACAATGTCAACCACAATGTCTACATCTAGACATTGTGCTTGACATTGTATAGAAAAACTTACCAAAAACATATAATTAAGATCGTTCAAGTAAGGAGAGAGATATTCTATTTGTTGTTAATTGGATATCTCCAATACCACGTATGCACCGTTCATGTTTTTGCATTGGAGATGCTCTAAGTAGTTAGATGGCCATACATTTGTAGTAATAAATATAATAGGTAGAAAACTCATCAACCCAGCCCCATTGCTCCATAAGAAAACATACAACCGGACCAGCCCAGCGCAACTAAGCCTGAAATAATCTCACCTATACACCAGAACCTTCTCGAGTCTCCACAGTCGACACCCCTGCCCCCATCAACTATCGCCTCGACTCGTCTGCCCTATTTCATCTCCCGCACCACGTTGTGTTGCGCGTGGATTTCATCTTCACCTCAACACACTCACCGCCCCTCGCATAAAATAGATCTGACCATTTCATTAACTCAAATCTTTCGCTGGTCAATCGTTGCCAACACCACATATATATTCATCGCACTCTGTCGATCGACTCGACGGCTGAATAGGGCTCACCACCACAAAACCACACAAAACCGCACCATGTAGTGAAAGAACACAAAAACATGATTTTGGGAGTTCATCTGGTTTTGGAACTTAAAGTTCCGACACAAATAAGTTTATTGGTTCTTTTTAAACATCACATTTGTAATCGGACTGCATGCCTAACTCTTACTTGTTTGCATGATATTTTTCTTGTAAATTATGCTCGTATTATTCTTCTAACAATTTCAAAGAACAATCCCTTTTCTCAAGTATATGTCCTTATTCAAAAATATCTTCCATGTATTCTCAAACAATGGAAGTCTCAAATTCTTTTACAACTAAACAAATTAAATTGCCTGATTGCCGGTTGGAATACATTTCGTAATGCATATTTATGAATAAATAAAAGGATTGCATTTCTCTATTTTACTTTATTTTCGCTGGTATACATGTAGGTAATAGGATTCTTGGATATGTATACTATGCATAACATTAATATTGGAAGGAATTGTTTTTTCAAAAGATTTTTTTTAAATAGTTATTTAGGTTTGTGGCCACAAAAGGGAAATTAAAATCCCGAAAGAAGGGTCAAATATTTTTTTAAGATAAAATCAATTTCAAGTCCTTAAGGATGTTATCTTACTAAAGTCGATTTACTGTCAATTAAAGGATGTAAATTTTAAGGGAAATTCTACGATGCCTTGCTTAAATTACTATGCACCGGTACCCAATTAGGTATACGGATAAATTTATCTTTATTTGTGGGTTTCAAGACATTACACGGAAGCCTATATCATACAAACGATTGTACGGTGTCAGCCGTACAGCCGGTGGCAATTTTGTAATTTTGGTGAAAACACGACTTCTCTTGAATGAGCATTAACACAATTTTGTTGAGCATCAAGTCTGTTCTTTTGAGTATTATGAGTCTAAGAATGAGCATATGCTACATGATATCTTCTAATTGATTTTTATGGGTTGGTAAGACTATTCTTTTGATTTAATTAACGTTTATTTTTTATGAAATAGACCTATGTAATAATAACAGAACACATCAATATAATACAAATTGAAAACAAGCTCATTCAAAATCAAAAGTATGTTCGTAGAATTATACTTCGTACAATAATAAGTTTGACGTTTGAATGTGATTTACTAATGATTATAGAGTAATACACAACTTTTTATAGACACACAAAAAAGTAATTAAAACGCGGTATATAATTTGAAAACACATTACATTCCACGTTAAATATTATGAACCATTTCTTTATAACCAACATACTCGATTTCAATGTTCGTTCCTCCGTTATCGTTTGCAATTAGTTACAAATTGATAATGACTAAAAACAATTTTTTTTACAATAAACAAACATGCGACGACTGTCATTGACTTTTATTTATAGTCATGACAAAATGAGTCATGTTTGAGTATAATCGCATCTAGAAATGGAATGATAAGCGGCTAACATCTGAAGGTGTTAAGAAATTTTGAGAATTAATAACTTCTATCAAAGCTAAAGCTTGTTGAAATCCCCCATTTAATAAAACGCTTTGCTATGAATTTACCCAAGTGACACACAAATGATTTTGGCAAAGAATTTTAACTTTTTCAAAAGGGTTATATATATATATATATAGGGATGAGTTCTAATACAAAGAGGTCTTCCCATGAAAAGTGAGAAGTGATCTAAACCCTTGATTACTTAAAAATGGATGGTATAGATCAAAACTTACGGTCAACCAAAATGTGTAATACATAATAGCAAAAGTGCATAGACAATATGTAATGGTGCACATTCACTTTAGAAAAAAATAATAGGAACGATTATTATACTTGTTATGTTTTTCTCGAAAAATGATGCACTTTTTTGTTACTCTAATGCACTTTTCCTCCGTAGTGATGCACATTTGTGACGTTATTTTTCAAAAAAACTTTTAATAATTACACTTTTGGCACCGAATTTTTCCCTCAAAAATTGATCTGATCCACTCATTTTCTCATTTTAACGGCTAAGATTACTTCTCATTTTTCATATAAGGAGTACTTTGTATTTGAACCTCCCCCTATATATATATATATATATATATATATATATATATTAAATGAAGGTAAATTATATTACATATATAGTGACTAAGTAGTTAGATGGCCATACATTTGTAGTAATAAATATAATAGGTAGAAAACTCATCAACCCAGCCCAATTGCTCCATAAGAAAACATACAACCGGACCAGCCCAGCGCAACTAAGCCTGAAATAATCTCACCTATACGTCAGAACCCTCTCGAGTCTCGACAGTCGACACCCCTGCCCCCATCAACTATCGCCTCCACTCGTCTGCCCTCTTTCATCTCCCGCACCACGTTGTCTTACGCGTGGATTTCATCTTCACCTCAACACACTCACCGCCCCTCGCATAAAATAGATATTACCATTTCATTAACTCAAATCTTTCGCTGGTCAATCGTTGCCAACACCACATATATATTCATCGCACTGTGTCGATCGACTCGACGGCTGAATAGGGCTCACCACCACAAAACCACACAAAACCGCACCATGTAGTGAAACAACACAAAGACATGATTTTGGGAGTTCATCTGGTTTTGGAACTTAAAGTTCCGACACAAATAAGTTTGTTTGTTCTTTTTAAACATCACATTTGTAATCGGAATGCATGCCTAACTCATACTTGTTTGCATGATATTTTTCTTGTAAATCATGCTGGTATTATTCTTCTAACAATTTCAAAGAACAATCTCTTTTCTCAAGTATATGTCCTTATTCAAAAATATCTTCCATGTATTCTCAAACAATGGAAGTCTCAAATTCTTTTACAACTAAACAAATTAAATTGCCTGATTGCCGGTTGGAATACATTTCGTAATGCATATTTATGAATAAATAAAAGGATTGCATTTCTCTATTTTACTTTATTTTCGGTAGTGATGGAGTATATGGCCCGGGAACCCCCGGCCCACAGACTCCTACTACTCCAATAAAGGCCCAATAGGCCTAGGAAGCACAACAGGCCCAAATCACGACGCCCAGAGTACCAAGCGGCCCACAATGCGCACCAGGGGTGCCTTCGACCCCTGGCCGAAGGCTCTGAATCTCACAGAAGGGTCAAAACAGGAAAACAAGGTTACTGGGAGAAAACGGCGAAAATCAGTAGCCCTCGGCACCTAGAGCCCTCGGCACTAAGGGGGGCCTCGGCACTAAGGGGGTCCCCGGCACTCAGAGCCCTCGACTAATCATCTACAACCGAGGGCACCTTTCCGACATAATATCCGCTCCACATGCGCGTAGATCACCGTACCAAGTACGACGTCACATCCAATAGCCGCATTAAATGCGGCCACATGCGATTGCCAGCGCCAACCAGTTGAGGTGACCCCTCGGCCAATGGACGCTTGACACGTGTCCCCATCTGGCATTTATTGCTACTATAAATAGCACCCCATTTCC